ACCCCCCGCACCAAAGGGTTGATTTGGAAGGAGAAGTTTGGATAGACCAAAGCCGGAAGATGCACGCATGCATGCATTTACTCATGAAAAAGGCAGAGGGGGATCAGCTCATTGATGTAATTGGCAGTTCTGTCGAGAATGTCAAAGGGTTGCGAATTGGTGTTTGTAGTGTGATTTCACAAGAAGGCGTTGTATCATGAGAAGCACTTTCTCTCACAATATAGGAATCGAGGACTCAAATTTTGCTGAATTCCAAGCCATTCACCAAGGACTCGGATTCTTCCTTGCTTTTCCATGGGCCTCAACATTTAACCTGGAAGTTGAGAGTGACTCTTCTAACGCCATCTTATGGACTACTGATCTCAAAACACCATTGAAACTCTCACCAAAAGAATAAGCAAGGTCACTTTCAATCATATTAGTGGTGAATTCAATACAATGGCAGATGGTCTGGCCAAAGCTGGTGTTCTAAGAGTTGATAATTTCAATACTTTCTTTGTCTTTCTTGATAGGGGTTCCTGATCTCCTCATGTTGACAAGTCCATTTAGGCATGCTGGTTTATGAGAAACAGAGTTCTTTTTATTCCTCAGCATTCTGAGTTGTTATGGCATTAACTTGAATAATGTAATATCACTGTTTCTTTTGTAGTCACATTAGACCACTTCTGATGCTTAGCCAATCCTCGAATACGAGGATTCTTTTGTCTTTAGCTGTAAAGTTTATGTCTCCTTTGTGACACCTTATAAATAAATTTACCTTTCAAAGAAAAATCCAACAAGAATGGCAACGATGAGAAGAGAAACGGGAGTTGAACGTTCCTACAGCTACTTCAATGCCAATTATTCTATCAGGACCGAGGTGAAGAAACTACTGCTACTTAAAAGATTCCTTCTCTGTAAGCCAAGCATGCATGGGCAAATGACTTGGGAGCCATGAAAAGCTCTAAGTTCATATTCATCGACGCATAGGTGTAAGAAACAAGTTTAATTACTCCATGAATTGCTTGTTGACTGAAATTTGCCTTAAGCTTATGTTATCTTTATCATCCCAAAGATCAGTTAGATTAATACTAAAAAAAAAGAAGTTATTAAGGTATTTGTCATTACCCATCAGCATTAGATTCCTCATTTAGTTTTGTATAGTGAAAATGAAGTTAACGTCGAATTACTTGCTGTATCAATGCAAGCACTTTCTAGTTCCTTAATACTTTATTGTTTTTGAATTGAAGAAAGCCTAACAAATTTAGAGTAGACACTCTACCATTGGCCGAAAGAGAAGAAAAATGGAAGAATAAGAAAAAAATTTTCCATGTAATCATTCTGAACTTTCGGACAGCAAAGTGATGGTGAATGACTTGTTACAGAGAAAGCAGAGACCCTTCGAGTTGAAGGCAATCTAAACCTGCAAACTTCGTTCTTTTTGCTTGAAGCTAGTCTTCCATCATTGCACCACGATCATTGGTTAGGCACAAGGATGTCAAAATCACTAACGGTCCATTCAGCAATTTGATCGGGGTCTTTAAATATTTCAGTTCCTAAATCAACAGACATCCATTTCCTTCTAGCTGGTGGAGTACCCGGATCCTGGAAATTGATAAAAAACATGTTCGTTCAAATCAACTATCTTTTTCGTCGTTTCTTGTTCCAAGTTAAAGTAAATATGATATAGAGGAGAAGTGAAAACCTGGTAAAAGTAAAGCGACTGAGACAATCTCCCAACGTCAAGTTCCCATGTTCTTGGATCGCCAATCCAACCTTCCCCTTGCTCAGTAGGGTATCCATATTCACCCCAAACGGGGTGTGGCAAAATCTGCAATATTTCCTGAGGCTGAGGATTGCTGTATGGATCACACAAACTATAAGGAACCTCGAGCTGCTCTGCATTCCCTGGAGCACAATACAAGTGGTAGGCTGCATAAGGGAACTTGGTTGCTTCGCTGCGGTGCACACGTGTGCCATTGGGGAAGGTGTGGTAAGGCGGGCACATGTTCAGGCTGTTTGCATTGCACCATGCAGTTATGTTTGGGTTTATGATCATTTCACAGTATCGAGTGACGTCTGAAGTTGTATCACCATCACACGGCTGGCCATTGTTCTTCCAGCAGCTCCCTATGTCTATTAGGTAGAATTGGCTGCTAGGACCCCCACCTTTGATTACATTTAAGGTGAACCTTACTTCAAAATTTGGTGACTCTGGAATCTGTATAGTGAATATGGTTAGTAACTCTAATGATTGTCTGATGTTTTGCCTGGAAGTCAAACTTGTATGTAGTGCTAGAGGATTTAAAATCCTAGACAGAAACTTAATGCTGATAAATACCAAATTTGAACAGATGTTGATAGAGAAGGCTTCTGTTAAGATATATAGAGGAAGAAGGAATTGCTTACGATTTTGGACATCCCTCGGGTTGGATAGTGGTACCCACCGGATAATCCATATGTGGCATCAGATCTCAAGTAAAGCATCAACCAAGGGTACTTTGTTGAAGTCCTCAAGACATGATGAAAGATCCAGCTTCCCATACCAATTTCCTTCTCCCAAGTTATGGAATAGTAAGATATGTTCCCCGCCAATCCTTTACTTAAATCAGCATCTAAGTCCCATGACCCATAAAACTTTCCTTTAAGAGTAGTCCGGCTAGGCCGTTCCAGTGTTGTGTAATCATGATAAATCAATGGTTGATTCATGCATCCTTCTCCAAAGCAAGGGAACCGGCTATCAGGACCAAACGGTCCAGTTTTATGGCCATTTTTGGGGCACTTCGCTGCAAAAGTGTCCATGTTGCCATTCTTAAGCATGATCATCCAAAAATGCCATGGATTTGGTGTGTCTTGAACTTGGCATTTAGAGCCTAGGTAAAGTTCCTTGTTTGCAGCATAGAGGTTTACATCAACAAGGGCATTTGATTGCACTCCAAGAAAGGGGTCTCCAACTCCTAGCTTGTTATCATCCTCTGTGACTCTGTGGACCAATACATAGGGCAACAAGTTGCAAAGGGAGCAGTTCTTTTCTGTAAAGTGTACTAATCACATGGAACAAGTATTTAATGCATGACCTATATTCCCCCATTGCTTAAAAGAACAAATAGTTAATAGATGCATCCTCTTTTAGGTAAGCAGTTTTGCATAATCACCGACATAATCATTATCAACAACCGCAGGTAATCATTTTATTTTAAATGGATAAATTCTATGTAAAAGAAATCATCAATCCAAAGCTTTCGTTGATGCTAATGTAGCAAGCTTGTTTGAAAAACATAATCTTCTGTTAGAATTACTCATATCATATAAACAAGAGTGCAGAGTACAAGAAACAAAAATCAGTCCATTTCTGTGTGCATGGTGTTATATTTAGAATTTTCACTGCTATATTACATTGGAAGGATAAAAGGAAAAGCACCAAAGAAGAAGAAGAAAAAGTAAAAATCTTACCTTCTTTGGTTTGAGAAGCCTTATATATGTCAAAGCAATCTGCAGCTCTTGGGCTGCCCATTTGTGGAACCTCTTCTCCAACCTCATTGCATTGGTTCCATGCCTCTATTGCCAACCTTAAGCCATCCCTTCTCATTCCTGGATCCCCAACCGCTGATAAATACTCGTCATTTTCAGCACCTACGTACCTGTTCTTCCATAGAAAAGCCACCACTAAACCAAGAACAAGAGATAAGCTACTTGGCTTTCTTCCTTTAGCCATGGATATCTAGACGAAATCAAACAAACTTGGGTTCATGTGAATGTACATTCCTATGTTTACGCAATTATATTTGTGCACGGAAAGGAATCCTTTGAAGTTGAAAGAAAGTGGAAATGAAGGAATAAATTTTCTGTTCGTGCTTTAGGGAAGTGCTTGCAGTGTGTATTAGTATATTTTTTATGATAGCATGAAACCTGCCCTTTCTTATATGCCCCTTTTGTGTTTCTTGTTCTTGTTCTTTACCGAGTGTTTGAGGTTTACAAGTCACAACTTTTACCGTTGGATCGGTACACATTCTGTTTCATGAATTGTTTGGTTTGATGCTTAAGCTTTTGTTGAAGCTGATTTCCTACCAGCAAGAAAAGGACAAGTGCAGACCAAATTTACTTAAACATTGTATCCTAATCTTATTCAATCTACAGTTAATTATACTCAAAATGCTCTTTCTGCCTGTCTTGAGCTTCAATGCATGAATGACGCTGTCCATGGAAGAATTATGACATGTAGCTGCTAATTATTGCTATGACAGTGGTAACAACCTGCACCATACCAATATTCTGCACTCTTATTATTACAAAACCAAATTTAGGCACCTCTGCTTTGTGTCTGAAGAAAGAAAGATCACCTATTCATAGGAGTACAACTGTACATGTTTTGCCTTTGGAAGTCCTTAGATGGGACCATGCCTTTTTTTTTCTTTTTGAACCCCTAAGAAGGGAGCAATATGCAACTTTCAGCCAACCTTAACTTCAAGCTTGCTTCAATAAGCCCCTTACTAATTTAATTGCCAGAAAACATTCGCTGCATAACCCTTTTCCACAAGTCCTCATAATAAATCACTTGGGGTCGGTGTGGGATGGACAGGTATTAAAAAGATTGACCTAAACGATTAAGATGGTTGGTTATCTTTTAATCACAGCAATCTTTTTACCAATTAGCCCATTTTATTAAGTAGCCCCAGTATTGGGCAAAACAAGGCAAATTTCAATGCGTTACTCCTTGTCACATTCAAAAATAGATCAATTTAAAGGGGGAAAATGATTAAAGAGGAAAAAGAGAAAGAAATAGCGGCCCACTTTCTGCCACATTCAGAGTACAGTCTCCATTATAACGAGTTTGGTTCAGGAAGTGCAAAGACAAAAGAGGGTCCAGTTGATGAAGTTAAAGAAATTCAATGCATTAGCACCAGATCAATGGTTTATACCTTTTTCCGTTAGAGAGAAGGAAGCCCAACTAGTTTCTTAGTTCTCTTCATATCCTTTTTGTGTCAACTAAACTAGGGACTGTGCGCAGTAATAGCGTAGAGAGTGAATAGACTAAGCCTGCAGCTACAGTTAGCCAATGAAACTTGGGCAAGAGTTTAGCACAGCCCACACCATTTGAATGCATTGTGCAAAGTTTGACTAGCAAAGCAAAAATAAAGGCTAAAAGCAAAAGAGGGGAACAACCCACCACATCCTGCTTACAAAAGAGAGGCACAAGACTAAAGAGATGACTCCCTTAAATCGTCAAAGACCATAACAATAACAGATGATTACATTAAAAAGGGCAAAAGAACTACCCAAATCACAAAGACCCAAGAAGAACTGCCAATTTGCCTTGCATAAAAACCTGCATCCATGTCAAAGTCTTTGTAGCTGTTAGCATTGCAGATACTAGATTTGTAATCTAGCTTTGAAACAACACTTTACTTTAGGTGGTTCTCATAAATATAACTTGGTTTGTTTCCTGGGTCCCCTACTGAGAATAAATTTCTCTTCCAGTACAAACCATAAAGTGGAAAAAGGTTGGCAAAGTGGTCACAGGATTTAGGGCGGGCCTTTCTTTTGAAAAAAAAAAAAGATAAAGAAAATGGCACAAAACCAGTAAGAAACTCACGTTCCTATTTAACAGCCTAACTGTCCTCTAACTGCTAGAACCCTCCATTATCATCAAATTCAGTTTTTCTGATTTTCCTCTTCTCTGCACCTTCTAAACCTTAACAAATCAAATAGTTCTCGTCCCAGAAACTGATTTCAGGAATTTCTTCAGGTGTTTAATGATGAAGTGGGGAGGAAAGAAATCTTCTTCATCCTCAAACTCCTCTCGCCTTCCTTCACTTTCTCGTGTACTCCCCACTGCATGGCTTTCCACATTCAAGCGAATGAGCATCAATTCTGAACCAAAACCTGCCAAAGAGAAGCAGAAAGGGATGAGGAATGCTGTGCCAGGGTGTTCATCAAAGTTTGCTGGTGGTGGAGCAAGATTCTATGGTGGGGATGGTGAGGCTTTTGGAGACTGTCATTTGGAGAAGATAGTGCTGATGGCAAGACTAGTAAAAGTGTATCGCGATCAGCTTGGTATGACTCAGATGATGAGCTTCATTTTGCACCCTCAAGTTGTCGGAGCTGTGGATCAAGTGCAACGAGGATAAAGGAAAAGGAAGAAACTAAGAAGTTCAGCAACATGGCTTGCGATGTAAAGAAGATGAAAGAATTTCGTAGGGATACACAGGTTTTACCAGATGTGAATATGTATAAAGGAGAAAAGGCGACAGTAGTTGAGACACCAAGTAGCAGGACAATAACCGGGAAAGACTTGAAGCTGAAGAAGACAAATGAAAGAGCTATGGAAGAAAAAAGGGTGAAAAGACAAAACAAATCAGGTGAAGCACAGCAGGAATCAGCAAAATCAGTAGAAAAGAACACCTTGGATTCCGAACCTATGAGAACAATTCCAATGACTGAAAGGGAGAATCTGAAGTTAACAGGTGATTATCAGAGAAGACATCAACATCTATCTACCATGAATCTAAGAAACTCCAATTTAACAACAATTAAAGAAGACTGTGCATTTACAGCTCAGAAATTACTGGAAACTGATGTATTTTCTCCAGAAAAGTTGAGTTCTGAGAGGGGGAAATGGCAAGAAATGAAAATTGAAAAGGTGAAAGTGAAGAGTGACAAACAGAGGAAATCTCTTTACATGAGTAGAGAATTACCAAGGAGAAGAATGAAGCAAAACAACAAAGTCCGGGTTTTTTCTCCAAGAACGGCTTCCAGAGTTGAAATCTGCAAAATAAAAGCTCTTGAAGACATGAAGAAGGCCAAATTGAAGATGAAGGCAGAAAAACAGAAGACAATTAGCGGAAGAACTGGATTAGAGAACTTCGCCATGGTGAAATGCTCATTTGATCCAGAGAAGGATTTTAGAGATTCAATGGTCGAGATGATCATGGAGAAAAGGATCAGTCAACCAGAAGAACTAGAAGAACTCTTGGCTTGTTATCTGACATTGAATTCGGATGCATACCATGATCTCATCATCAAAGTATTTCAGCAGGTATGGCTCGACCTGGATCAGGCCAGTTCTGACACTGACTTACGGAATGAAAAATGTTCCTGTGAGTAATAACTTTCTAACTGGTGACTGTAAATGGCTCTCTAGTTTCTACAGATACACTCATAACATCATGCTTCTAATATAATCAAGTTACAGTGTTAGCTTTAAATTCATAGTGCAACAGTCAATTAGTTGTTTTTAAATTTAATTTTTTGCTAGAAGCAACTTGACACATAAGCACGCAAATGTAAGCAGAAATTCACCCTTACTTACATGCTTATGTCCGTATCTCCATCATAAGCAAGCCCTTATACATGTTCAACTATACTGTCTCATGCTTGTCTACTGCAACTTCACTCTGCGCCACCATTTTCCTATTGTCTATCGTTAGCAGGAATCTAGAACAGGCCAGCCAATTCCCACTTTCGACCAGAATGGATTGATTTGCATTTAAACTAGTCAGGAAGGTTTACCAATTTCATGATTCACTAATTTCTCTTCAATAGTCTCAACATCCATTTTACACCTATACTGCATGGTACATGCTACAAATTCACTGCCACATTACTTCCGGTAAGCCTTGATTCAACTTGTGGCCTGTGCCATATCTTACGATAGCTACTTCTCTGAAGCAAACAAGTCTGCAAACTTTTATCAATATCAGATTTGTTCAAGAATCATTCCTTCACCTGCTAAGAACTCATGAACAACACCATCCACTTCGATCATGCTACAACCAGGCTCCTTTTTTATTTTTAGTGCCTTCATCTTACTCCTCACATTCATAACATCATCCCATCTTTGTAATGCTGCATATGTATTTGACAACTGAACATAACCTGCACTGTCTTGCGGGTTTAACTCTATGAGCTTCCTAGCAACATGCTCTGCCATTTCCACATTACTATGCTTTTTACAGGCACTCAACAAGGACTCCCAAACCACAGGGGCTTCTTTCAGTGGCCTTTTTTGCACAAGGTCCAAAGCCTCCTCTAATAATCCCACCCGACCCAGGAGATCCACCATGCAGCCAAAGTGCTCAATGGTTGGTTGAATTCCATAATCGTCAACCATGATTTGAAAGATATGACGTCCCTCATTTAATAAGCCTTGACGACTGCAAGCAGACAGAAGACCAATAAAGGTCACCTCATTGGGTTCAAAACCATTCACAAGCATCTCTGAGAAGATCTCCAAGGCATGTTCCCCTAAGCCATGCATCCCTAAACCAACAATTATGGAATTCCATGTACTAATATCCTTCCTTGAAGCATTTCTAAACACATATAGAGCCTTATCGATGTTCCCACATTTTGAGTACATGTCGACAAGAGCTGTAGCTACATAACCATTGATACCAATCCCATTCTTATCAATATAAGAATGAATCCATTCACCTTGCCCCAAAGCTCCAAGATGAGCACAAGCAGACAACACATTAACCACTGTACAATTATCCGGTCTCACTTTCTCGCGCTGCATATCTTCAAAGAGCACCAAAACTTCACCAAAACAACTTATATGAGCATAACCAGTAATCATAGCATTCCAAGACACCACATTTTTTACAGGCATTCTGTCAAAGATACTTCTAGCTTCTTCAACTAACCCGGCACTTAAATATCCTGAAATCATAAAATTCCACGACTCTACATTCCTTTCCTCCATTTCCTCGAAAAGACCACTTGCCAATCTTATATATCCCGTTTCAATATAAGCACTTAACAAGGCATTCCAAGAAACAACATCCCTTTTAGGCATTCTATCAAGCAAACTCCTTGCAACCCCAAAATACTCACCTTTCCCATACACATGAATCAAAGTATTTGCCACGAAAACATCAAACCCAATTCCCATTCTCAGCACCAGACCATGAATCTGCCTCCCTTCTTGCACCCCACCAAACCCAGCACAAGCCTTCAAAACAAAAGTGAAACTATACTTATCAGGAAAGACAGGGCCTTCAAGCATTTGACGAAACAGAGAAAAAGCATTCTGAGGGGTATGGCTATTGGCATAAGCTCTGATAAGGGAATTGTAAGAGAAAGAATTTGGGTTAGTCATATGAGTGAAAACGGAGTGAGCATAAGAGAGGGTTTTTGGGTCAGGGTTGTTAACGGCAAAAGAAATGAGCTTGTTTGAAGCCAAGGGGTGGTTGTAGAAAAGACCAGTCTTGAGAAGGTGAGCATGGGCTTGGAGGATTTCAGAAACGGAATTTGCCATTTCTGTGAAGGAGAGAATCGGTGGCTGAGATAAGGTTCCACTCATTGTTGTCAAAATGTCAGCTAATTTTCTGTTTCTGTAAGAAAAAGAAACAGCATTTCCAGGAGAAGAGCCTCAAAAGATTTTTTTTTTTTTCTTAAAGAACTGTGTGTAAATAAAAAAGAAGATTTCTTCTAAATATCTTTGCACACTTTACTATTCCTTTTTCTTTTATGTCATATTCATAATGAAAATTAAATATTAACAAAAAACTAACAAATCTAAAAAAAAAACTTTTAAATGGAAATTGATAATTGGCGATGGACTCCTAAACAAGAGACTCATCTTGATAGACTCCCTCGATCTTCGCATCTCTTATAAAAAATTTTAAATCAATAAAAATTAAATAAATTTTAATATCACTTATTAAGAATATATATATATATATATGTATATAAACGACAGTTTTTATATCCTTTGTTAAAAGAAATTGTCGTAATAATTTTATTTTTTATTTAGTAAGGATTAATGACAATAGATGTAGATTTGCATTTTTTTTATTTTAATTTATTGGTTGAATTATAGTAGGTAAAATGGTTCTTCCAATGTATTTTTTTTTTCATTTTATTTGCATGCCTAAATTCAAACTGAAAATATTTATTCCATCCACGTGGTTAAATTCATCTAAAACGTAAAACCTCTACTACATTTTTGTGTCATGGCGTCAAACTCAAAGCCTCTAACATGCCCCTTCGGCTTGATTAACTAGCCCAAGCGTGTCTGTCTCTATCAACAAGCATGGCTCTGACGTTGAGCGAACAGGAACCCAGCCAGCAACATAGATTCTCTGCACACCTTCATCTTTCAATTGCCTTAAAGCAAACACCAGAAAATGCTCACGGTTATGTGCAGCACAGGATATGGATGATATTCAGTTGGAAAAACAGATTTGTCGACATCGAAACCATAAACATACACCATACAACACATAGAGTGCACTAGTATACACTTGAAAGAATTACGTCGAGGACTACAGGTTCCTTCCTAGTACCATCAATTTATCAATCTAAAGGAGCCTGTCGAAGAAAGTGGAAAGCTTTCTACTACTTGCAGAAATCCACAGTGCCATTCAATAGCCTGACAGATCATAGGATTAGGTAAACCATGTACCTGAAGCTTGAATGTCAGAAATTTGAAGTTGATTCAGGGGAAAAAAGAGTAAACTTGTATAGCCAAACATTAAGGATGATCATATGATCATATTATTAATCACCATTAGTACAGATTATCAGGATGTTGATCAGGCTCGCGACCTATAACAGATACTCCAACATACAGGCAACAAAATGATCATCATATATGCCATAAAATAAAGATATTACCATGCCAACCTTGGGAATACACTAAAATTGGCGTTATTTCTCAAAAATATGTGAAGCTGAACTATATGGAAGCAGTCACAAAAAGCCATGTCAATCACTATAGCACCAAAAGGCTAATGAACAAGGAAAATATGAACATTAGATCATGACATGCAGAAGAAGATGAACTCAAACATAAATTATCTACTTATTTCCACATCAAACCAATCATACCTAAATTTATTACATCTGAAATATCGAGGCATCAAAGGCCGTAAAAAATAATCAACCAATATCAAGTTCTCTCTGCAGGAGTAAGATGCCCCATCTTTTCTGCTAGGTTATTTACATTCTTCATATTCCAACAAAATCTGCCATGATCACCAGGTTTGCTGTCACTCTTTCTGGCATCAGAATCTTTTCTTTCTGACTGAACTTCCTGCATATCAGTAGAACCTGGATTTTCAGTCAAAAATTGTTCCCAGAATACATCATTAGCCCCAGCTGGTGCTGTTGCAGGTGCAGTGGTAACCGCAGCTTCTTCGTTTGCTGTAACAGGCTCAGAAGCAGCAACAGTGGCAGGCTCAGAATTCATGTCAATCCCAGGGGATTTATGCTGAGCATCAACATTAAGTTGCATGCCAGATATTGCTGGGCTTTCTGCACAACTTGTTGATTCATCCAATTCTACATTTGAATTAAGTTGAATGTTAGTTTGACCAAAATCATGTACCACATTCTCCCAAAATACCATGGATGACTCTAATTGTTCAAATGGCTCCATGTTGGACAATGATGTGCTATCGGCATTTTCTCTAGCAATTTGGGAACTGCCTATCTGATTGTCTTCAATCCCAGCTTCATCATATAAGTAAGCGATTCTCGGCAACCTTCTCTTTCTGTCATTAGCCTCCAACTGTGGTGTCAGATTTATGGCAAGTCCCGGTTTCTGCAAGACTTGAGCCACAGAAGACACCATGATCTGCTGTCGCCGTTCCAGGTTTTGCAAACGCTCCCTCAAAAGCCGCATTTGCATCTCAAATCCTTGCCGCTCCTGTTCATGCCTCTTTAACTCTAAAACAAGCGACTCTTTTTCAGTCTTAAGTCTCTCAATGTCATCCCTAAAATTCTGTCTCTCTGATTCTGTTAATTGGGAAGCTCCTTGACCTAGGAGATTCTGCATCGAATGACTATGAACTGGCTTGCGTCTGTGTATGTTTTTCAAAAGGTGAGGCTGACCTCTTATAAAATCCTCATTCGCAAACTCCCACTGTTCTGGATCAACTTTCCTGAAACCCTGCCAAGATATGGAAATAATTCAATTCAAGCACCATAAGAAACAAAAAAGCAATTAATATATAAATGTGGGGAGACAAAAAGCAAGTGGCTCACATATGTATTAAGCTGTCTAATAAAGCTGGAAAAATTATTGTGCTTGAAGAATCTTGGAAGTAAATCCCTCGCAAACTCTGGGGGATTCCATACAATGAAACTTTTATTACTTGCACTCCAGGACACAACAGAATCTGTGGAAGGATCATCCACCATCTCATATGTCTTTGTAAGGAATGGAGGAAGCGAACTTGAGCTGCCTTGAGCGTCATCCATCCCAAAAATTCCAGTATATGTAAATCACAAACCCGGAAATTCAGTTCCCAGCAGTCAAACATCAACCAACTCCAACAATTTCGTCATAAATCAAACTCTCACACGACACAAGCCAACATCCTCCCTCCAAACCTCAATCTCAATCAAAGGAACAAAGCTTCAAACACCCTTCTGGCATACGCAACCAAAGATTGTTATCCCTTATCAACTAGAATCTCGAACTTGCCGAAAGGCCCTAATTCATGACTCTCAACTTCCCAAGTCTACAAATTTCAATCAAGATCAAAACCCTAAAAATAACATCTAACCTTGGTTGCGTATGAATCAAATCACAGTTAACAGCTTTATTGAGCTCTTGAAATAGGGAGCCAGCCCAATCAAGCAACCTTTAACCCCAAAATTCTGAAAACCCAGATCAATAAAAGAAAAAAGAAAAAAAAAAAAACCTTTTATCCTCGAATAAAATCCAGTCAAAGATGTCAGCTGTTCCAATCTACCAGCTCAAAATCCCTAAAAGCCCGATTCAAGACCCTTAATTCTCTTCCCAAATTGAATGAAAGTAAAGCCCTTTTGTCTTCCAATCACAAAATATACATCATTCAAGACTTTTTCCAGCTTCAAATTGAAAAAAGAAGCACCAGCGAATTCCAGAGAATTGAGAAGCCAAAGCCCACCAAGATTTTTGGAACCTGCAATAGCGATAAAAAAGCTCCTGTATTCAAACCAAAGCGATAATTAAAACCCAAAACTAAATTCAAATAAAAAAACAAAGAAAAAAAAAAGAAACCCTTTGATTCTGTTATTAGTTGGAAACTATTTACCATCTGACAAGCCGTTAAACAGTCCTCCTAAAACCATGATTACAACCATTTTTTTTTTCATTTTCTTAGACAAGAGGAAATAACAAAAGATAAAAACTAAAAAAGAATAAGGAAAAAACTTGAAGCAAAAGCAACTAGAAAATAAATTGATAATTGAAATATGTTGAATGATACACGAGCGTTAGTTGAGTTGTTATTACCTGAGAGAGACAGAGAACTATATATATGTCTGTCTGTCTCTGTGTATGTATATGTGTATATATATATATATATATAAGAAAGCTAAAAGGCTAGGTTGCAGAGAAGATGATGCTGATGAGGATTGAGGACCCAGAACTCGAAAACCGCAAACAAAAAATTTAAAGAACAAATCGTTTTGGAAATTTGAGGTTTTTCTTTCTTTTCTGCTTCGAGAATATTTGGGGATTCTCGTTCTTTGGAACCGCGTAGAGTAGAAAAGCAAAGATTTTTCTACGATACCATACTAAACTGCCCCCTTTTTTTTATTTTTTTGTTAAATAACATTTTATTATTAGTAAATATTATCGTCGGAATGTAGAAATGGGGGGCATTGACTGAGAAGGTAGGCGTTGACGTGGAGTGAAATGATTGGTAAATGAATTTTTAGAGAGAGGGAATTCGGACAAAGACCCGTAAATGTATGGATATTGCCGCATCTTAATGTATTTGGGGTGACGTGGGTGCTTTGGTGAGAAAATCCCTAGAAAAATTAGAAAATATGCAAGGGATTGGATTCTGTGGAAGGCGAATGAGTTTTGGTAGCGAGCGGTTAGATTTTTAAGATCGAGGAAACACGGGGTTCTTAAGCAATTTATGTATAGCGTGCCTTAACACGTGGTCAACCTATGGACGGCTATGAATTATTAGAATTGACGATTCATGTACAACTTGGGAGGTTTTGTTCTGGTTCGGGCCATCCTTTGTCTTATCCCTTCTCGGAGCTTTCTACCTACATGACATGCATGTAGTCATGCTTCGTATCATCTTCCTATTGCACAACTAATTTAATATTATGATGTCATCAATCTTACATTGATAATAATATATTTTAAATAATTAATTATAATTAATTTAAAGATGACTCAAAATGATAAATGATTCAAATGGACCACTGTAATTAAATTATTTTATCATTTGTAATATTCATTACGTATTTAAGTCGTTTATTAATTTAATAAAGTTAACTTAGATGGAGCTTGCTTAATTGTCTTATACAATCTAGACTTTGATAAAATGTTGGCTGCTAATGTATTGTTGAATGAACATGATACGAATAGGTAGTGCGAGTTTACACAAGAATCGAAGCTTGGTATTGTGCCTGGCACTGTGAACGGAATGACAGTTGGGCCATGTCACCGTGATTGGATGTTAAAAATTATGGTGGCTCGGGCTCTTTGTTG